TGTCTGCAAAACAAACATTCATATATCTTGTGTCTTTCTTTTATTCATTATTTAATCGATTTCGGTGAATGTCCTGTCTTTGAGACAAAAGACATTCAATTCAACTGATTCAAAAAAACAAATATTGCCATCAAATCAAGTGCCATTTGTAAACAATGCCTGAGTACTATTTTTAATTATCTACTAGCTTAAAAAGCCGGACTACTTGAGGACTATCAAATTAGATCCTGCGGAGGGCTAAGTGGCCCTCCGAACCATGACTAAATGGACCCTTGCTCTAGCTTAGAAAGCAGCAATGATTATTCACTCCGTGGATCTTCAAACTCTCACTTTCACTCTGATTCGGGCTATAAGTCCATTTCCGGCGCAAAAACCTACTTGGGCCGAAAATCCAATTTAGGCCTAAATTAAAATTCAGTTCTTCAAATCATAAAAATTACGTGGAACTTCAGATCACAAACTTTCTGGAACCTCAAGAAATCACTTTAACTCAGATTCAGGCTGTAAGTCTATTGTGATGTGGGGTCTGGAAAGTCACAGCACTTAATAGTGTCAGTCGTGATAGTAGTATTCAATACTCAAACAATTCGCTGCCTTAATATTTTCTTCTTTCTTCTCTAGACAATTACCCAGGACTACTTATCGTGAACGGATCAGTCCATTTATGCTAGAAAGGAGAATAACTGACTCTTACTAAAATAAAGTTCAACACCGGCCAAAAGGCCGATTTGGACTGAGAGTCCAATTTGGGCCAAAAGGCCGATTTGGGCCGAGAGACCGATTTGGGCCAAAAGACCGATTTGGACCAAAAAAAAACGATTTGGGCCAAAAAACCGATTTGAGCCAAAGTCTGATTTGAGCCGAAATTCCAATTCAGGCCGAAAAATGAGCTTTTCAAATCACAAACTTGGCGGAACTTCAAAACCTCACGTTAACGAAACCTCTCACTTTAATTCTGATTCCTTGGAATGTTGAAGAAATAAAATGTATTTCTGCAATTCAAAAATTTTTGGAGATATTTTAACCTGAATTTAAAACAAATGTTTTTTTTGTTTTTTTTTTAAATTCACAAAGTGTTTTTGTGTTACGTTAAACCCAATATAAATTTAAAATTATTCGGACTTTGTCGCCATATCTGTTACAACGTTTCGGCCGTTGTACGCTCCGGCCTTCTTCATGTGTTTGGAATGTCGAACTGAACCCTTTATTTCGCTCACTGAAATAGACTGTTTCTAGTGCCATGTTTAATGGATGTCAGTTGTCAGTTATCTCGTGTTAATTCCTCTCTCCAAGTTCTCCACTGCCTTAACCGGGTATTGAACTCAAATTCTTTGGGTCCTGTCACTGGATCTAACTAACGCATTTATCCACTGTGCCATGTCTCCTTGAGGACAATAGTCCGAATAATGTAAATAGTGTACATAATGCCTCATAGCAGAAATATAAGATAATAAATTTAAAACTTTTAAAATCACTTTTTTTTTATTTTTTTTTAGTTATTTTAAAATTTTAATTTTTAACTATTTCCTCCTGATCCGCACACAAATCCCAATGCTGGATGTTCAAGCATCAAATAAAGGGCAGATCTTCGATCCCGGATTCATCCTGATTCCAAAAAGGTGCAAAATCTCTATGTAGGGCAAGTGTGTCCCAAGTTAGATCGATTTCAGACACACAGACGGACAGACAGAATTTGCTTTTTATTTATTTAGATACGGATCAATTATAACAAAGAAGAATTTACTGTAACTAAAGGAAATAAATCCAGGATAATTTGCGCCAAAAAACCCTTTTTATCAGTGTTGTAGTGTAGTTTTCACAGTGGAGGCTTGTATTTCAATAAGTCGTCCTAAATTAGGTTCGACGTACAAAACGTTAGGAACTTGAAATAAGAGTTAATGACGCAGCAATCTAGTTGTGATGGTTGGTACTTCAATGTCCGATATCGACTGACTCGCTCAACACCACTGAGCACAACTGGCCACTGCTACTACTACTTATTATCTGTGGGAGAGTCTATTACAATAAAATAGGTATTATAGTATAACAATCAGGTACGTTCACAATAATCATCGTCAATGGCCAGACTTTTGAATCACATGAGAACAATACTGGCGCCTCCCCCAAGGCTCGCTCCATGGTTCGACCGTCTTTCTGCTTTATATGCGATTGAGGCCAAAATCATGCAATTTATTTTATTATATAAGAAATAAGGGACACAATCAAGCATGTCGTGCATCAGGATACAGCTATACATCATAGGTTCACTTCCCTACTTCTCAACAGATTCACCACCTTATTCAATGGAAATTTTCCACCTACAAAAGAGGACATTTATTGCATCTTCGTAAAATTCTGCAGACGGCTGATGTAGAAGTTTGAATTTCTTCACCATCACTATAAGACTTGCAAGAGTTTCTCCCTTCGGCATCAAAAAATTGATTATTTCTCTGTGCTTCTGACTGAATTCGAGCGGGGCAGCTATTTTCATATCAGCTCATTTATCCATATATAAAAATTTATTTAAATAAAACATCAAGAGTGTCTGCGTACCAAATTTCATATAATTTCATCGTGAAATGTGGCTCCTATGACAGAAATTGTCTTACTTTTTTAAAAATCACCTTCGTACTAACGATCTGTTTAAAATCATACTCAGATCCCCAGTAAATATACCGGGTGATTGAAAAGTATCTCCCCATTTTATGTACGAGTGGCCAGACAGGTGTGAATTTTTTCTTTGGGATTATTTAAAGGAGCAAGTCTAGTATACCAAACCAAGACTTTTCGAAGAACTTGAAGGGTGAATACAAGAATTTCTGTCTTCCATACCACAGGAGTTCCTGGTGAAATTAATTGGCACGATCTCTGGTCGGTTCGAGAAGATGGTAGTGAAATCTGGGGCCCATATCGAAATTGAAATAAAACCTCATGCTACACGCTTTCTTCTCAATCTTTTCTTGTAAAAATTACAGTTAATCAATGACTTACAAGTATTTTAAAATGAGGAATTACTTTTCAATCACCCTGCATATACACATGGTATCACGGTTTACTGATATATAGAATTAACAGATAGATAGATAGATAGATAGATAGATAGATAGATAGATATCAACAGACATAGATAGATTGAAAAGATAGATAGATAGATAGATAGATAGATAGATATCAACAGACATAGATAGATAGATAGATAGATAGATAGATAGATAGATAGATAGATATCAACAGACATAGATAGATTGATACATAGACAGATAGATATCAACAGACATAGATAGACAGATAGATAGATATAAATAGACATAAATAGATAGATAGATAGATAGATAGATAGATATCAACATAGATAGATTGAAAAGATAGATAGACAGATAGATAGATATCAACAAACATAGATAGATTGATACATAGACAGATAGATAGATATCAACATAGATAGATAGTTATCAATAGACATAGATAGATAGATAGATAGATAGATAGATAGATAGATAGATAGATAGATAGTAACAGAGTCATTATTGTACTTGGCGTCAATAATAATTGCTTAAAACAATACCGTCATATAAAATGGCGACATAAAATGGAGACTCGTATTCATTGAATGGCAGTCTTATCGCCGTCTCTTTGGCATAAATTCATTTACTTTCAACTCTTTATTTAGTTTTCGTTTTTTTTTTTTTTATTTTACATTTTGTAAAAATAACATTGTCTATAATTGGAAATAGAAAAAATTAAAATACAAGAAAAGATCAAAAACCAAAACTACTTCCCCTAAATGATTCATAAAAAAAAATGAGAGACAGACAACTCGACAATCGACAGCAAGAGAGAACGTGAAATTCTATTGTTGGAAAGAAATATCAGTCAGTGTGAACAACGTCATAAAGGAACGAAAAAAAATTAAATGCCCAACTTTATCGACAAAAAAAAAATACCCGTATTTATAAAATAAATATCGTAGGCAAGACGACACGAATCTGAGACTGGAGCGAATGAAACCATAAAAAATATACAGACATTTAATTTCTATGAATATCTATATATGAATAAATCTACATTGTCTTACAAGACGCGACAAGATTTTTCAAAATCCATTGGGAAATAAGAATTGCCAGACGTTTCAATTTATGGATGGACAGAATGGCAGAAATATGGAGCAGCTCTTTGATAAGATAAGGTTGACTAAAGAGTTTTTTGTTTTTTTTTAAATAAACAAAAATATTGCACAAATATTTTTTTTCAGCGTAACTTCCTTCTGAACGTTATATAGTGAAAGTATTTGTTCAAATTTCAATGAATAACTAGCTTACGCCCATATCGTGTTAAAACACCGGTTCTCGTAAGATTCACCGAAGTTAAGCAATATCGATTCTGGTCAATATCTAGATAGGTGACCGTTTAGGAATGCCAGGTGATGTAAGCTTGTAAGTGTGGGCGGTGTACTCGATAAACGATTTGGAAATTGAGTTATTATTCAATACTCTTGGGAAATAAATGAATCCATCCTTCTACCCCCAAGGTAGGGGTTAAATAGTAGGACTTGTATCAGTAAATCCTTCTCATCTACGAAACATTCTTATATTCTAAAAATATTTTCTGGCTTTAAATAAGAAAGGGTTAATAAGCCACAAAACATCAATGAATCTCATTTATTTCAACCTCTCTTTCTGTTTTGTTCCCCTCCCTCTCTATTATCCACTTTTCTCTCTTTTGTTCCCACCCCGTCTCTCTTTTTTATCCCTCTATCTCTCTTTTCTCCTCTCTCTCTCTCTCTCTCTCTCTCTCTCTCTCTTTGTATCTCTATCTCTTTTGCATCCGTGCTCTCTCCTTGTTTTCCATCTCTCTTCTTGTTTCCCCCCTCTCTTTTTTATGTCTTATTTTATTTTATTTTCTAGGCACGGGCTTGGGTCCTGAGCGTCGGATTCACCTTGGCTTTTGGCGCCATGTTCAGCAAAACCTGGAGGGTACATGCCATTTTCACAAACATCAAAATGAATAAAAAGGTAAGACTGACAATCTCTAATGCCTGGAAAATATGACTCAGAAAACCGAAGTCTCTTTGGAATAGCAAAAGAACAAAGCAATATATTAAGAGATTAGAAAATTTCGTTACAAGCAAAACAAAATAATAATGATATAATAAAATGCACCATCCTAAGACATGTGTTGACCGTTTGTACCTGACAGAGAGCAATGGGAGTAAGGCTATGATTTAACTAGATCTCTTATAAAATTTCATTAATAAAACTTTATAAATATCTTGCAGCTATACAAGATTTGAATGTACAACTCGTAAAGGAGCATGAAAAAAAAATGTAAAAAGCTTTTTTCTGTATCAAGAAGCCCATAAATATGCAAGAGAACTCTATTTAAATCTTGAATATTGCGCTGAAGTAGATGAAACTGAGACAAAATCAGCAAGAAAAGTGAAACAAGAATCAAAAAAGCCAGATCAAATGCACATAGAAGAAATCTGGAGCCAAAGGCCTCTACATAGCCAGTTTCTTCGGCGAAGGAAAAATGCTTATATAGATCAATTCACAACCCATAATTGGCTAAGGAGTTCACGCCTTAAATGCGAGTCTGAAGGGTTTATTTTTTATGCGCAGGACCAGGGCCGGCTTACAAATAATTATCAAGCTAATATCTTATGTAATAGTAAGAATCAAAATGCTGTGACCAATACATTGAAAGTATTGATCAGCTCATCTCTGGATACGCAATACTCACACCCATTGAGTGCAGTCATGACAGGGTAGGTCAGTATCAAGAAGAAGTCCATAAATATGCAAGATATATTGATTGACTAAGTAAAGAAGCCCAAGGCTGAAAGTTTCGTACAGCCTGTGATGATGGAACTCTTAAATCAGTCGTGAATGATCTAGCTAGACAAGCTTGTTAACCATTACACCACGCCGATGTTCTCAAAGAAAATACGCAAGAGAATTCGGTTCAAGTCATGAATGTTGCGATGAAGTAAATGAAACTGACACAAAATCAACAAAAAAAGTGAAACAAGAATCAAAAAAGCCAGGGCAAAAGCACGTAAAAGAAATCTAGAGCCAAAGGCCTCTATATTGCCAGTTTCTTTGCTGAAGGAAAAATGTTGATGTAGATCAATTCGCAACCCATAATTGGGTAAGGAGTTCACGCCTTAAATGCGAGTTTGAAGGTTTTATATATGTATATTAATAAAGAGTATTAACAACATTTACTGGCCTGAATGTCCGAAAAATTTTCATAGAAAATATTCGTCCTCTGATATTATTATAAAGAGAGCATTTACTTAAATATTTGTATCTCTAAAAAAGAATGTATAAACATAAAAAAAATATCTTAAATATAACTGTCAGACTTTGTCCATTTCATAATGTGTGATGCCATTTGTTTACATTTGGATACGCATCGAGCAGATATGAATGTACGCGAGAAAATCATGGAAATTGTACTTTAAAAACAGACCTTGCTAACCGAAACGCTCCTATGTGGCTCAATCGGTAAAAGCACGTCAGGCTATATGACGCTTCCGTATAGGATACATGTTCGATTTCTGTCAGAGGACGAATATTTTCTATGATATTCAGGCCAGTAAACGCTGTCAATACTGTTTATTATAAAGAGAGTATTTACTTAAATATTTGTATCTATAAAAAAGATTGTATAAACATAAAAATGTTTAAAAATAATTGTTTGACTTTTGTCCATTTATATATATATATATATATATATATATATATATATATATATATATATATATATAAACAAGTTGTGGAAAATTAGAGTAACACACATGACATCACGTTAAACGTTTTCTAGCGTCCTAATAAGTACCAAGATGCAGACAAAGTATTTAAAGTACCAGACAGTCATCATGTCGTTTCTTGGTGATTACTGCAAAAGCCATGGCGCACATCCTCGATGCTCTTGACAGAATGCACACGATCATGTGTCCATACACTTGCAAGCAGCCTCTCTTTCAAATTGTAGATGCTCATGTCACCCATCTGAAATAGAAAATTATATTAAAACTTTCGGACCACCCTTTACTTTGATTTATTTGAACTTTAGATGTTATAAAACGAGGTTTCGGTCCAGTACACACGGGCTATTAAGGCGGGTTTTGTCGGCCACTAGAGTGCAAACCCTACATGCTAAAGAATAGAGGATATAGATATACTCATTAAAAATATAACAACCACATAATCACAGATATCTACCACAAACCTACAGACACCAAACAATATCTTCATTTCAAGAGCCATCTTCGGAAAAGCTGCCTAAAATCCATCCCTTATCAAGATACATTATCAGTATCGTCCTCTTTGGAGGAGCTGGTTTGGCGAATCTTGCAATGAAGTCATGTCGCACATCCTCTTGCCAGAATGCACACGGTCATGTATCCATGCAAATGCAGGCAGCCTCTCTTCTAAATAGTAGAAACTCGTGTCAGCCATTTGAAATAGAAAATTGTCATGTAGCGGTGACAAGACTTTCGGACCACACCGTGCTTGATTGGAAATAACAAAATATGAACATCGGACAGTTTATCCGCAACCTCGAACATAATACTCAACGGCTTATCCGACAATTGAAAAAATACACTAAAAAATTAAACAGAAAGACTTTGTCAGTTCTTTTAATCAAACTTTTTGAATATATATATATATATATATATATATATATATATATATATATATATATATATATATAAAAAAGAAAAACAGACCACTTTTTAAGATACCATTATAATAATTTATTTCACCAGAGTCCTTTTAAAAGATGCCGGATAGCACTTCCAAAAAATGAAATGAAACAAAAAATGAAATTAAAATTGATGGGTAGTGTAAGTTTTTGTAATTTAACAGAGAGTGTAAAAGGGATAGTTAAAGAGACATGGTAGAGTATAGGGAGGGATTAATTTCATATCTCTCCCAAGCATACTTTGTATTGGGGGAGGAGGAGTGACCAGACTTTTACCTATTTAGACGGTTAACTTAACGGAAGTGATATATAGAAATGGGAGGGGAGTAGGGAGAAAAGAAAAAATAAAAAGGAAAAAGAAAAAAGAGGGAGAGGGAAGTAAAGAGAAAGAGGCTGTCATTGGGATCTTAGTAATTTATGTAAAGAATAGATTTTAATGCTTGATAGTAGTAAAAAAAACGAAGAAATTAATATGATGTTTGCTACCAATGTAAATATTTAATTTTTTTAAAACATATAGTTTAGGGATTTAATATAAGTTAAATACTATATTTATTAACACATTTATAGAGAACATATTAAAAAAAATTTAAATTATAACAGTTTGTTTACCCGACCAATCGTATTTTTTTAATATTGTAAAATACAGTTAAGGTAACATCTTTATCAGTTTGAATCTAATTTATGAATGTAATTTGTAATTATTTTTATATGGGTAATCTTTCTTATTTAAAGTTTAGGTTTTTGAAATATATATATATATATATATATATATATATATATATATATATATATATATATATATATGATGCATGTTTCATTAAATAATATAGACAAGTTTTGTCTATTTATTTTAAGTAAGTTCCTTTCATATTGTCTGATAAGTTTAATAACATTATCATTGAAAGGCCAGAGGAAATCACTATATTGATACATGATTTAATCCTGTCTAAGCTTTCGGCTTACCTTATGTAAGGATCAAAAGATGGCAATGATTACATTTCAATATATTAAACAATACACGGACAAGACAATAATGATAGTCTGTTTTTGTTGCAGGAAAAATTTCAAAGCAACGACAAATTCGTGTATACGAGACGCGGAAGCGAAAATCGCACCGCAGCTCGTGACGTCAGACATGACCACGCGAGAGTCTATATTATTTAATGAAACATGCATCAATGGAAAATTATTGCCTAAATACAGACAATATATATATATATATATATATATATATATATATATATAGAGAGAGAGAGAGAGAGAGAGAGAGAGAAGGGGAGAGAAAGCGAGTTAATGATCCGTTGGTATATAATCTAAGTGAATCCTAATAAGAAAAACAATTAGAAACAACGTTCCGCAAAGTTTTTCTCACCTGAGTCTATCCTTTAAATCTATATATCAACCTTTCCCCATTGCATAGAATATTGCTGTCATATATGGTTTGGAGCCCCTGATGTTCGTCTCAAGGTCCTCGACAAAATCCCGAGACGGATACGCAATGTGATATGTCCTGATCTGGCATCTCGTCTGCAGTCACTTTCTCACAGAGGTGCTGTGGCTTCCCTCTGTCTTTTCTACAATTATTTTCCTGGCAACTGCTCCGACGAGCTACTTTCACTTCTACTCCAAGAGTTTCTTCTCTTGCACTTCCTGACAGTGGAACTCCCTTCCTCTTACTTGTTTCCTTGATACCTATAATCTCCAAATATTCAAATGGAATGTCAATCGACATCTCCAGGTGCTTTGATCTAATTCCCCGTCCTTCTCGTCATCCATTCCTCTATAATACCTCTTTACGCTTGCTCCCACAAATTAATTTAGTAACTCACCTTTGCAAGTTTTTTTCCCTCTCCTGTGGCTATATATTGAACTGACAACTATTTGGATAAAATCAATTTTTAGATTTTTTTTATCCTTATCCCATCAGCAAGTGAATCGTTGTGGTCTTATAAACCTAGAACCACAAAAATTTTGTAAGTCGGCCAAGCATAGACATGATTACAATATGGAAGCCAGTACTACAGAGAGCTGGTGAAAAACATCAATAACAGAAAATTATTTAAAAAATGCTTATATAGGCAATAGGTCTATAAGTTGCAAAAGACTCACATCCTGAGGTTCCCAAGGATAAACGTTCCCGTTGAAGTAATCCAAAAAGTGACTTGACTCAAAGCTTTGTGAGTTCAATTCCTGGCCACGGCAGAGGCAACAAAGACTTACTAAAGGGAAGTAACTGAAACTGAGATATCCAAAAAAAACGTCATGGCATATGAGATTAGGAAAATCTACTCCCATGGACTAAATAAAGTTTTCCGTTCGAAATGACAACGTATTGCATCTGGAGAAGACCAGAGTGCAGAACGGCCGAAATGTCATGAATATGGCAATAAAGATGAGGACAACAGTCCGAATGATTTTTATTTTAGTCATTTTCTATATTTGGCCTCATTGTACAGTAACATAGTACATAATTTAATATAACCAATTATTATTTAATGTTAGATTAGCAATACTAGTAAAATTCGATCAGTGAAATCGTATCGTAATTTTTAAATCGAGTGAACTGCGGCAAAGTGTAGCGATGCTCTGCAGAAAAATATATATGAAATGGCCATATAGTGATTCTCCAAGCGTAGCTTAGATGTGGCACAAGGCCGAAAGATTGGGACACTTAGTGAGGATCGAACTTCCTATTCAGTCGTAATTGTTCTAGCGAGACAAGCTCGCTAACCATTACATCACCTCGGGGTGCCCCAAATTCAATGGCCAAATATTATTAAGTAACAAATGTCAAAATTATTTACATAAATAATTTAAATTTAAAATTTTAATTTAATTTATATATCGCTGCACTCAAAGAGTTTAAATATTATTTTAACCCTTCCAGGGCATCTTCCGGTGTACTATCCAAATGATATTTAGCTACCCCCCACCACGGGGGTTACACATGGCACAAGGCCGGGTTTAACGTGGGATTTCCGAGCCCGTAAGCTTGGCCAAAAATATTCCCTCTTTGAACCCGCATAAACGGGTTCAGGGGCAGTCAACCGCCCCGAACAAGACTCTGCCCTTCGGCGGAGCCTTGTCCGGGTTCCTCTCCACTCGAAAGCAGAGAGTTTGACTGTTGGCCCCGGAGCCATACCCCGGAGCCAAAGTGTACTATCCAAATGCTTGTTTCAGTCTCATAGCTAAACTCAGCATATTTGGCAAATAGAATCTGCAGGTATATATATATTGTTTCATATAATAAAAACGTACAAATCATCGGTCATTTCCTCTATGCCCTGTGCATAGTGCAAATAATATGCAAGAAAGTTGGACATTGAGCTGTAGGTTTAGGAACCAGAAGCGTCCAACTAGGCTGGCATCTCGCTCTCACCTTTTCTCTGTCGAAACTGTTAAATGTAGCCGTCTCTTCTACTCCAATAGCTTCATGTCTCGCACTTCTCGCCTGTGGAACTCCCTCCCCTTTTCTTGTTTCCCTGATAGCTATAATCTCCAACTATTCAACTATAATGTCAATCGACGTCTCCAGATGCCTTGATCTATTCTTCTCTTCATCCTTTCCTTTAACCTCATAACCCGTAGATTAAATGGAGTTGTTTCACCTCCGGTCAGTGGAAAGCCTGAGACCAAGCAAGCCCTGAGAGTCGCTCTGCCATTCTTTTAAAATAACAATTAAATTCTTTAATTATTTGCTTCTACTGAATATATTCTTTTTTATTCCAGGTTATCAAAGACTATAAACTATTTCTGATTGTTGGAGTCCTCTTGGTGGTTGACGGTGTAATGCTAGGAACATGGTGGGGTATGGATCCTTTCCATATCGCAAGCAAAGAACTCTCACATTCGGTAAGTCAAATTCACTGATCTCCTCACAAAGTTAGGATGCTTGTCTTCGTTGTTAGTTGGATAATTAAAAGAAAAAAACTTGTGGTTCCAACGAATGATTTATTTTTATGGAAATATTCCGACTCGCAGTTGTCAGTCTAGGTCATTCCTTAATTTGAGTAAAAACAGTTCAAAGAAGCTCGAATCGCTTAAGAATTCAAATCAAGGAAAACAAACTGAGTTGATTTCGTTTACAACGTAAAAGGAAGTTGAGGCGTAAAAAAAAGAAAGATTTTGTTTTCTGAAGCGTTTCTAATTTCTTTAAACTGTTTTTTACTCAAATTAAAAGTGTGACCAAGAATAGCAACTTCAGGTCGAAATATTTCCATAAAATAAATCATTCGTTGGAAATACAAGTTTTTTTCCCTTTTAATTATGCAACTAGCAACAGAGACAAACATCTTAACTTTGATACGAATAAGACATGGACCTCACTTAAAAAGCGTATGCTCTTACTTTGAAAATATCATCAATTCGTTTTTTCCCCCTTCACTTGAATTCTTAAGCGTTTCTAGTTTCTTTAAACTGTTTTTACTCAAATTAAAAGAGCGACCAAGACTGGCAAGTTCTAGTCGAAATATTTCCATAAAATAATTCATTCGTTGCAAATACAAGTTTTTTCCCCTTTTAATTATGCAACTACCAACAGAGACAAACATCTTAACTTTGATACGAATAAGACATGGACCTCACTTAAAAAGCGTACGTTCTTACTTTGAAAATGTCATCAATTCGAGTTTTTTTTTCCTTTGAATTCGTAAGCGTTTCTAGTTTCTTTACACTGTTTTTACTCAAATTAAGGAGTAACCAAAACTGTCAACTTCTTGTCGAAATATTTCCATAAAATAAATCATTCGTTGGAACTACAAGTTATTTTATTTTTTGATCTCCTCACAAGTTTGATCTGATCTCATTCTCTTCGTATTCTTACCCAGAACTGTCACTTTGTGAAACAGACTCCCGAGTGAGTGCTTTCCCAAATACAACCGTCTTGACTTCTTCATTTCGTTGTTTGATTGATTCGTTTTTTGTTTTCTTTTTCGTTTTTTTTTTACGGCTTATCAACACTCTGACTGTTATTTAAAGTCAGAAAATATTTTAGATTGTAAGATTTCGGGGTAAAGAATAATGCTATAGTGATACCAGTTTTACTAATTAACCCATAGCCGGGGAAAAAAGTATATTCGTAACTAGTCAGAATTTGATAATCAAACAAGAAATTATACTGGTTATTAAGTGGGAGATCTATTCTACATTACAAACAATATATAAAGTGAACCCTCGCTTTTTGGCCAGTATAGTTTTATACTGCAGAGAATGTAAATAAATCGAAAATACATGCCTGTGTAGTTAATCAGTATTTCATTAATTGGGTCGTTTTTTACGGTTTATCAACCATTTGCAGGTTATTTGAAACCAGAAAATATTTTAGATTGTAAGATTTTTTTTTTTTTTTAAATAACATTGGATTAGAAATTATAAAGCGGCCACAAAGTGGGGGGTCAATTCTACATTCCAATCAATATTTAAACTGATCCCCCACTTTTTTTTAGTTTCGATACATCTATATGCCATGAAATATAAATAAATCTAAGACATGCCTGTGTATTTGTTAATCGGTATTTGATTGATTGGTTCGTTTTCTACGGATTATCAACCCTTTTCAGGTTATTTAAAGCCAGAAAATATTTTAGATCGTAAGATTTGGCGGTAGGTATTAATGCTATAGTGATATCAGTCTTACTAATTAACCCATAGCTAGGAGGAGAAAAGGTGGATCCATAGCTTTCCCAACAGTTTTTCCGTGTACATGAATATAACGAAGCTAGTTTTGGGTTAAATTACATCTGACATCAAAACCTCTGATTGGGCGATTGGAGGTTTTGAGTAGGTAAAAAACACCTCTTAATTGGTGTTGTTCCCAGGTCCACACTGACCCGAGGCGGTAGCACCTGTTAGGGTCCCAGCTATGGGCAATTAGTGAACCCCCAATCAACTATGAAAGTAAAAAAATACGGTTGCGTTCAAAATATTTAGATTTCGACATTAAATAACCCATAGAGGTGTTGATATGCCGCTAAACAACTTCAAACAACCAATATGAAAGAACTGTTTAATGATGTTAATCAATATATACTACACTTTATTAAAGAAATCAAGATGTATTCCTGTTGTAAGCTAGGGAAGGTTAATGAATAGAATAATCAAACGAAGGTTAGTAATGAACGATAATACTTAGAACAAGAACAACACATATAAGATTCGCCAGCGGCGCGTAGAAGAAGTAGTCAACTGCTAGAAGTGAGTCAAGTGAATACCACAATGAATCTCCAACTCCGGAGGTAGAGGGTTTGACCAGCGCAGCTGGAGACGAATCTACAACTGCAGGATATCTACCAACCGCCCCACGCGGTCAGATGTGGCACAAAGCCGAATTTAATGTGAAGTATCCGAGCCTGTAGGCTCGGCCAAAGATTCCCCGGATGCTCCGTATAAAACGGGGTCGGGTAGCTGTTTCCCGAGATGAGACTCTGCCCTTTCGACATAGCCTCGTCTGCGGATTCTCTCTGCCCGGAGGCAAAGAGTTTGACCAGCACAGCTTGAGACGAATCTCCAACTGCAGGTTAACTCCCAACCGCCTCACGCGGTCAGATGTGACACAAGGCCGAATTTATGTAGGGATGTCCGAGCGCGTAAGCTCGGCAAAAAATTCTCCGTAGACCCTGTATAAAACGGGGTCGGGTAGCTGTTTCCCGAGACTAGACTCTGTCTTTCGACATAGCCTCGCCTGGGGATCCTCTCTGTCCGGAGGCAGAGAGTTTGAGCAGCACAGCTGGAGATGAATCTCCGACAGCAGACCAACATACAGTATTTACTACTGTATTTATGTGAATAGGGACATACCCATTATCGTCCGCAGGTACGCTACAACAATTCCGAAATACAACTTCAAAAAACCACAGTATAAAACACACTTGTAGTAACATAAACATGTATATACACAAAATCTGAGTATCATCTACCATGTATTCGATTGTGAAATCAGAATAACATATATATTTTTCTTAATTCAAAGCTACCAAGAAAATTAAATTTCGGCAGTAAATGACCCATAAAGAGTTGATATGCCGTTAAACAAACAAATCAATAAATCAATATAATGAACCCAACGGGAATTGGAAATTGGCTCACACCACCTGAACATCTAAGATTACAGTATCTGGCATTCCCAAGCGGTCACCCAACGAGGTACTGACCAGGCTCGACGTTGTTTAACTTCGGTGATCATACAGAAACCGGTGTTTCGGCGTGATTTGTCTTCTTCAGGGCAGGAATCAACCGTTATCTCTCCATGTCCTCCTTATATGCACCTCCTTTTCCCTTACAACAATCTCATTCAGTAACCCTCTACCTTGAGTGGCTCTTGGGCCTTGTATTAAAAGAATTATAATTGACATCTAAGTATTTAAAACATTTTTGCTGTGTATTTCGCGGAGGTGAAAGCTCATATATATATATATCACTTATGGTTTAATAATTTTAAAACTGTCACTTGTGACATACAAGCTTCGTTCTGGAAGACAACTAACTCTGAATAATGAATCATTAATTAGATCCACATCAAAGCACCAGAGATTTGGCGTAAAATCTAAGAGATTGTTGCATGTCTTACTCTGCCCGAACATCTCGAGAGAATTGGGTAAACGCTCAAAGGAAAGATCTGGGTTCCTCGTGAGCTTTTGCTAGAGAACCGGACATAACGTTCTACCATCTGCGGCAGTATTAAACAGAAACGCCAACTTTGTTTTGTTGTTTTTTGGGGTAGAATTGTTCCAGGTGTTGAAAAATGGGTTTTGCATTTCAACAAAAAGTGGTTATTATAAAATGAAAAAAAAAAGTGGCAACTTCAAAACCGTAGCTCCCTCTATCCAAGACATTGTTTTGTGTATGGTTGAATATGAAAGTTGTTGTCCATTGCGAACTGTTGGAGAATGGAAGGACCACCAACGCAGATGTTTGCCTGCCTGCAACCTGATCGAGTAAATTAAGCCTTATATCGAAGGTTTCCTGTTTTTGGTTGTTCCCCAGCATGACAATAAAATGACACCCTGCAAAAGGAACCCAAGAGAAAATAAGACCGTTAGGATACAAACCGAATTTAGCACCAACAGGTCCTTCATTGGTTTCAGCAACTTGAACATTTCATATGGGGTTCATTCAGAAGTAAAGAAGTTGAAAATGGGTGATTTTGATGTGTGAACCATGTTTACTTTAGAAGTGGAATCGAAAATTTGCCTTCCAGTTGGACAGCAGGCACTTAAAATGAAGGCAATTACTTTTGGGAATAAATAATATTCAAATATATTTAACATAGGTGGGTTAATGTTTAACAAGCTTGTCTTGCTAGATCAATTACGACTGGGGAGTGAATTTGATACTCACTGGGTGCGTCATACTTTCAACCTTGTGCATCATGTAGGCTCCGCTTAATAAATCACAATTTAAACTAAAATGTGTTTATATCCTTTCTGGTAAGACACAATTACTTTACGGACAGCCTAATAAATTGCAATGAGCCCGGTGACATTTTATTGGATCCTGTCTTGGTAATGCGTCATTTGGCAAATTTTGGGAAGATGTTCGAGCTGTTAAACCATCTTGTATTCCCAAGTTGCAATTGTAGGATTTGCGTGAGCCTTGCTCATTATAGAAAGGCCATTATTTAAAACTATAAAGAATAGGATTTCTTTATTTCTATATATATTAAAATCTATGAATTCTTTTGTATTCTATTCCTAAATTTCAAAGATGCACACGAAAGAATGTTGTTATGGGAACTTACCCATAATAACATAATGGACTATTCCATACGTAATAAATACTGCGCCTCAAGAGGAAGCAGGGAGTTCAGCCTGAAGTCGGGCGACCGGCTGATCGGTTGAACTCTCTGCATTCGGGGGGGGGGGTAGGAACCCGAACGAGGCTACGCCGAAGGGCGGAGTCTCTTTCGGGGAGGTAAACCGACCCTGAACCCGTTTATACGGGTTCAAAGGGCATACTTTTGGCCGAGCCCACGGGCTCGGATATCCCATGTTAAACCGGCCTTGTGCCACATGATGCCCTCGTGTGGGGTGACTAAATACCGTTCCGTCTGAAGTCTGGAGTGAAGTCCGTCAGGAGTCTGTCAGTCAGTCAGAGCGAGTCAGTCAGTCGAGTCAGAGGCAGTCCGAAACAGAGTCGCGTTCAGACAATTACTACTAAACCTGATTGTTCGTACTAACACTTTCTACTTCTCTGTATATATTCCTGTTTGTAATATATCTGTGTTATTCCATATCCGCCTTCGATTCTTCTTTATTGGTTCTACCTTGGACTATCACCGTGGTACAAGGAACCGGACCATAACCAATTTCATGGTCCCTGTTAGTAATGAACAGGATACCACTTAAAACTGTTTAGAATAGGATTTCTTTTATTTTCTCTATTATTACAATCTATGAATTCTTTTGTATACTATTTCTAAATTGCAATATGGGGACGTGACCCAGTGGTTAGAGCGTCCGCATTCTGACCATGAGGCCCCGGTTCGAATTTGTCAATTTGTCAAGACGAAAAATTCCTGACGTTATCGGACTGGAGGGGTTGATCCCAGCGGCACCTTTGGAAAAGGCCTGAAAACTATACCACCAGTTGACCCAAGCCTTGTGAGTGAAACTTTGGTGTAGTCCCATAAAATTATTGCAGGTCTCCATAACCGGATCCGGGTATTATTATTATTGATAGCTTTTCCAACCAATCCGAGGGCTCCAACTACAACAGGGATTGTTGATGCTCTCATGAGCCACATTTTTGAGATTTCGATGTCAAGGTCCTTGTATTTTGACAGCTTTTTGAATATCTTCAAAGATAATTGCAGTCTGCAGGGACTGACATATCAATAAGGAGGCACATTTTTTTTGTTTGTGGTCTTTAATAACAATATCTGGGCGGTTGGCTTTGATTATTCTGTCAGTATGTATTGTGTGATCCCATATTATTATTATTATTATTATTTTATTTCCTTTGATTTCTGGTCTGTACACATTTCTTTTCCGGGTCCCGCCCAGAGACCTAAGGTTAGAAATGGCATCATGACATTTTCCACTGACAAAAAAAAATATATTCTACATAGATAAAGCCCTTCGTAAGGTGTGGGCTGTATTCGTGAGAACAATTTTTTCTATTTATTTAAGACTTGGAATCCGTTCAATGTGTTTATCGAAATTTTTCCAGTCAATCCTAGGGCTCCAACTGAAACAGGAATTGTTAATGTTCCCATGAGCCACATTTTTAAGATTTCGATTCCAACGATCTTGTATCTGGATAGCTCTTTAAAGATCTTCAAAGATGCAGTCTGCATGGACGGCCATATCAATAAGGAGCCACTTCTTTTTTCAGTGGTCACAAATGGTTTTGTGACATTTTCCATTAAGTATTTTGGAGCAAAAATAAACAACAAAATACACCTAACATCACACATATTTTACGTAGACAAAGCACTTCTTAAGGCATGGGCTGGATTCGAAAAAACAATTTTTTTTGTATTTCTTTAAAGCATGGGCTTCCAGGAATCCCTTCAAATAGTCTACTTAAATATTTTCCAACCAATCCGATTGTCCAAGGATTGTTTATGTTCTCATGTGCCAAATTTTTGAGAATTCGTTTTCAAAGTCCTTGTATTTTGATAACTTGTTGAAGATCTTCAAAGATACAGTGCAGTCTGCAGGGACTGCAATATCAATAAGGAGGCATTTTTTTATGTTTGCAGTCTCTAATAACGCTGCCTTGGCGATTAACTTTGTTTATTCTGTCTGTGTGTATTGTGCAGTCCCATAAAATTATTACAGGTCCTATCTCCGTAACCGAGTCTGGGTACTATTATTATTATTATTATTATTACGGTTTTTTGTGTATATATACCATGTAACTAGTGAGCGAGTCAGAATGACTTATTTCCCTTTATAGTCGACCAATAAAAGGTTGACCAATCAGAAGCCGCACAACACTGTATTCGTCGTGTATAAAGGCGGCCATCTTTGTTTCTCCTATCGGAAGGACCAGAGGCATCTTGTCCGGCGAACATGACAGACGGAAGAACTACGCTCTGCTGGGATATCCACTGCGAACCTGCACTACGCTTTCCTACTGTCTCCGAAATATTCACTGCCAACCTCTGGATTCTATACTCGAGGATGGCCGTCATGAAAATGTCTAACAATTATGACTTTTGAATTTCATTTTTTCGGCTTGTATTAGATCATTCCATAATTCAAAATTGTTAATGTATGTATTTTCTTTTTGTAATGTGCATAATTTTCAGGATGAAATCAAAGAATTTTTTTCTTGTAGATCGAGGGAGATTATGAAATTGTCCCGATTGTTGAATCCTGTGCAAGCGAATACATGACTATCTGGATGGGTCTTATTTATGCATACAAGGGACTTTTACTGGTGAGTTATTTGTAAAAAAATCTATTATAAATTGTGTCTTGTTTAGGTATCCATCATTTTTAATGTTAGCTTCCTTTCTACGAAAGCCCAACTTAAAGACGCTTTTCACCGGCTTTGCCTGAAAGACTCCATTAGAGAGTATATTGTTGGTGCCCTAAATAGTTCAGATCCCACCCAACATGCATGGTCTGAATTTGGTGCACCTCCAGGTGGTGTAATGGTTAGCAAGCTTGTCTCACTAGAACGATAACGACTAAGTAGTGAGTTCGATCCTCACTGGGTGCCCCTTACTTTCGGCCTTGTGCCACATCCAAGCTACGCTTGGAAAATCACTACATGGTCTGAAGTTTGCGTTCGGTTACGAAAAAGGCTATTGCGACTCAACTTTGACTTCAGTATTCACTCTTCTAGGTGGACAGATATGAACAGAATTAAACATAGATAGATAGATAGATAGATATAAACATAAAAAGTCTTAAAAAATTGTCGGACTTTATCCATTTCCTAATGTGTGACGCCATTTGTTTAGATTTGGATACGCATCGAGCAGATACGAACGTACGTAGAGAATCATGGAAGATTGTATGGTTCGACCTTCCTAACCGAACACTCCTCTGTGATTAAGGCACGTCAGGTTATATGATGGTTCCGTCCAGGATACTGTTTCGATTCGTGACGAAGGACGAATATTTTCTATGAAAATTTCTCTGACATTCAAGCTGGTAAATGTTGTTTAATACTGTTTATTATAAACAGAGCATTTGCTTAAATATTTGTATCTATAAAAAGAATGTATAAACATAAAAATGTCTTAAAATAATTGTCCGACTTTGTCTATTTCATAATGTGTGACGTCATTAGTTTACATTTGGATACGCATCGAGCAGATATGAATGTACGTGAGAGCATCATGGAAGATTGTAGTTTAAAAGCAGTAAAATCGACCTTCCTAACCGAACGAAGGACGAATATTTTCTATGAAAATTTGTCGGGCATTCAAGCCGGTAAATGTTGTTTAATACTGTTTATTATATAAAAGAGCATTTACTTAAACATTTGTCTCTATAAAAAAGAATGTATAATCATAAAAAAAAATCTCTTAAAATAATTGTCGGACTTTGTCCATTTCATAAGATAGATAGATAGATAGATAGATAGATAGATAGATAGATTGCCAATCAGGTGCAAAAGAAGTCGTTTTTAGGGGTTTACGTAGTAATACAAAACTGTGTTTAATGTACGCATGACCATGCCATTACAATAAAGAAGAAAAAAGTCCATAGTCCTGCTTAGCGTTCTAATGAACACTAAGCAGGACTGTCAACCGTGGCATTTCAAAGCAAAAAGAAAAATTACAGTCATGGATACGAAAAAACAGTTTTGTGTTACTACTTGAACCCGTGAACAACACAGTTTTGTATTACTACGTACACCCCTGAAGATGATCTCGGAAGAATATCAAAACTCTTTGTGAAATGGAAAATAAAAACGATTTTCTTTGTTATAGCACCTTTCTAACATCATTTAATTGCAAGCCATGAAAGTTTATCCGTAATTATGAACGGATTTTATTAAAAATAAGCAGACATAATGTCTGTATTTTATTTAATCAGACATGCCTAAAAGAGAATTTGCTGGCTAAACACACACACACACACACACACACATATATATATAGGTATTTTGGCTTGTAATTGAACAAACCAATACCCAAGGAAAAATAAGGAATGAAAAAAGAAAGAACTAAGACCATGGAATTGAGGCGAAAACAATCGTCCATAATCCAAGCTCAGAGGCGAAAACAATCGTCCATAATCCAAGCTCAGAGTCCAAAGAAAAAAAACCTCCAACACGAGTAAAGCAAAAATAACTACGTAAAGTGCTCAATACACTAAGTAGTGCAAACTAAATAGAACCTAAAAGAACTAGGTAAACTTACCTAGGTTTTACTTATACGGATCAAGGGACAACTGACGATCCGTATAGGTGAAAACCTAGGTAGGTTTACCTGGCCCTTTTAGGTTCATAAATATATATATATATATATATATATATATATATATATATATATATATATATATATAAAATGTTTTATATATTCTTATATGGTTAAATGTGCTGCCTGGGTCATGAGAGTGGCTACTGAAAGACCTATATCTGGATTCAAGAGGGTGGCTACTGGAAGACCCTATATCTGGGTTAAGAGGGTGGCTACTGGAAGACCCTATATCTGGGTCCAAGAGGGTGGTTACTGGAAGACCCTATACCTGGGTTAAGAAGGTGGCTACTGGAAGACCCTATATCTGGGTTAAGAGGGTGGCTACTGGAAGACCCTAATTCTGGGTTAAGAGGGTGGCTACTGGAAGACCCTATACCTGGGTTAAGAGGGTGGTTACTGGAAGACCCTATATCTGGGTTAAGAGGGTGGCTACTGGAAGACCCTATATCTGGGTCAAGAAGGTGGTTACTTGAAGACCCTATATCTGGGTCAAGAAGGTGGCTACTGGAAGACCCTATATATGGGTTAAGAGGGTGGCTACTGGAAGACCCTATATATGGGTTAAGAGGGTGGCTACTGGAAGACCCTATATCTGGGTCAAGAGGGTGGCTACTGGAAGACCCTATATCTGGGTTAAGAGGGTGGCTACTGGAAGACCCTATACCTGGGTTAAGAGGGTGGCTACTGGAAGACCCTATATCTGGGTCAACAGGACGCTGCACCATAGCACACAAGCAGCATAACCCAGTCACGGCTGATCCTATTTTTATATTTTTATATATAAATAAAACTTTCTTCTCGGGAGATATATTTTTTTTTTAATAAAGAAATATTAATTTTGTGTACATAATGTCTATTTTTGCAGGTCATTGGTTGTTTTCTGGCCTGGGAAACACGTCACGTGAGCATCCCAGCCCTTAACGACTCCAAATATATCGGCATGAGCGTATACAATGTTGTCATCATGTGCACTTGTGGAGCAGCCGTTTCGATCATCATTAAAGACCAGCCCACATCTGCTTTCATCATTATTGGACTCTTCATCATCTTCTCTACCACCATTACCCTGTGCCTTTTATTCGTCCCTAAGGTGAGTAGCAGGCATTTTCAATTCCTTCATACCATATTCAAATGGTTTACTCTCGTTTCCAGCTGGCTATCGATCCGTGTTACATAATGATTTGCCTCCATAAACAAGGCTCTAGAGCCACTCAAGGTAGAGGGTTAATGAACGAGATTGTTATATATGAGAGGGGGAAGATGCATATGATGGGAATATTATATGTAGGATAGATAACTGTTGACGCTAGATTTGTTATGATTCTAGGGAACCATCCTCTCCGGAGTTCCAAAACGTAACATTTCTATGGAAGATTGACACCCAAATAATCGTCATGGTGCTCTTATTCTCACAGACGGTGCCCCGCTAAATCTACTCTACTATGCAGTAGGAATCCCATAGTAATGGAAGATCTGCCAGGAATGGTAAAAAAGTTATAAGAACCAGGGCGCAAATTTAATTTAGATGACCTTGCGATTAATGCACTTTACGTAGTAGTGAATTATTTTCTCCTTTGATCATAGTAGAAAAGTGTGGGAATCTGCAAGTTATGGGAATATGATATGTAGAATAGATAACTATTAACTCTAGATTTGAAGATGGTAAGATAGTAGGAAAGCATCCTCGTGGGAGTCCATTTCAAAGAGTAACCTTTCTAGGAAATCTTTTGCAACTCTTCTGGACGGTCTCGTTGTTTAAGTTGGTGAATGCTGCCATAAACCTTGCCTTTAGTTCATCTTTGGTGTTACAACGAGTTTTCTTGGTCAGCGCCCCACACATAATAATCATGGGGGTTGCAGTTTGGGGAGTTAGGTGGCCCGATGTAAGGGGTGATGTGGTCGTCGAAATTGTCTGACAGCCATTACTGGTTCTCTGTGTGAAAATAAATGGAGGCATAACGTCGCCATCATTATTGATCACACCAAACACCTTCGTAATCACCATTGACTCATCGAACTCTCACTGTCCCCAGATTGACACCCAAACACTCTGAAATGTTCGAATTGAGCTTCCGTCGCGAATACTAAGCATGCTGTTGTCAAATTTCTGGCGGCGTGACTTGCATCATGGTGTTCTTTTTCTAACAGTCGGTGCCCAACTGACCCTATTTGATCGTGCAGTCGACAAAATCAAAAAACAAACAACGCACGCATATGTGTGAAATTGAAAATATAAAATTGCGAAATTAACCTACCGCTATCTGTTGGCCATTTCATAATTACTGACAAATTTCCTAAAGATCATATATTTTTTAATATTAAAACTTATCAATTATGCAAGGAGTTACTGAGAGCAAATTTAAGGAATTTCGAACAGAGGACCTTATTTAATTCTATATTTACTCACTATTTTCCCCGCATATCTCTACAGCCACTCGAGGTAGAGGGTTACTGAATGATTTTTCCCACATATAAGGCTCTAGAGCCACTCAAAGTAGAGGGATAATGAATGAGATTGTTATATCGGAAAGAGGGAAGATGCATGTGATGGGGATATAATATGTAGGATAAATGCCTGTTGACTCTAGATTTGAAATCATTAAGATTGTAGGGATTGGGAAAGCACCCCCTCGGGAGTCCGTGCCAAAAAATAACATTTCTCGGGAAGACTGACACCCAAACAATCTGCAATGTTTGAATTGGAGCTTCCAGTGGGAATGCCAAGCAGTACAGAATGCCATTTCCAAATTTCTGGCGGAGTGTATAGCGTCATGGTGTTCTTTTTCTCACAGACGGTGTCCAACTGACCCTACTCTACTGTGTAGTAGGTATTCCAAACTGTTATATTAGAAGATCTGCTAGGGATGGGCGCAAATTTACTATAGATGACCTTACGATTAAGGCACTCTCTAGACATTTACGCCGTAGTGAATTATTTTCTCCTTTGATCGTGGTAGGAAATGTGGCGGGAGATGCATGTTATGGGGATATGATAGGATTGATACCTGTTGACTCTAGATTTGAAGATTGTAGGGATCGGCGAGAAAACCTCTCGGGAGTCTGTTCCAAAAAGTAATATCTCTAGGGAAGAATCTCTCAGATTAGAACTTCCTCCTTACCAATGAAAGATAAAGGGAATAACGGTGATTCGGCTCCGTGTTTGTGACACAACGGGTTCTAACAGGTAAGGTTTCAGCTGTTGAAAATAAGGAATATAGCTCGTCTAAAAATCAACACTGAAAACAGCAAGATGTTAGCAACGTTTCGTCTGTGGAATAGGAGGTTGTAGATTGGTAATAGTTATTCACCGACAAGGTCCTGTAAATATATTTGAAGGCTGTAAAGTAATAACACCAGCCTAGATGTTCAAGAAATACTCTATTTCCGATCTAATCTGACTCTTCTGACGATATGACACGAAGAGACCATTTTCACGGCGTATTCATCGATGGATTCTTAATACGAGATCTATTTGAAGCCTGAATTGAGCTTGAGTACCAATAGCTCCCTTACTGGTACTTCCACCATATCAAAGATATACGAAAGGAATGAGGAGGATTCGATCTTGTGCATGTGGCATAGCAGACCCTAGTTTTGAATGTCTGGTCTAACGGAAGTAACGAATGTAGTTCATCTGAACATTTGTCATAATAATACCAATAGAATAGCGATAAGCCCCGCAGCATTTCAGAGAGCAAGAAATTCATCACCCAAATGGCCGCGTAATCGCTTTACAGGTCTTTCAAGGCTGGACATTGAGGACTGTGCAGCGACAATTTGTCAGGTCTACAGATATCGCGTTTCATTTTTTTTTTTTTTTTTTTTTTTTGGTACTGCTCAATTACCGCTAGTCGTCTTTTTAATTTCTGATCTAGATGCCAGGCTAGGACAAATAACATTGCAGATTCTTCTTTGGATTTTATCAAGGATCTCTAAATATATAGCAGAAGTTCTACACCATAATTGGTAGCAATATTCAAAGCATGAACGAAGGGTAGATTTATACAACCTGACACAGAGACTGAGCACACAATTACCATACGACCACGTACCATCACTTTAATCCTAGCGGTTATTATCATCATGTGATTTGCATAAAAATGGCGGTAATTTGGACGATTGACGATAAGTATGCGTCTTCTCAGCGGACTTATTGAGCTTTTAGAGTCAGGCGATTCTGAAATAATTAGAATTCCTACCAAGATTCATGATTGGCGGCCATAGATCTTAACAGCATTAGATATGCACGGTGTCGATATGTGGGAGGCATATCGACGCTTCAGAAGTTTTGAAACCCTCTATTAAATTCGCGCCGTTTTAAACTTATATTCAAAATACCGACAAAGGCAAGCCGTCACTGTCAGAATGCCCCGCCCACGTGGAACACCGGTTAATCGTTGACCGTTCTTCGAAGTTACGAAGGGTAGATTTATACTATCTGGCACAGAGACTGAACTCACAATTACCATACAAACAAGGTGAGCTATCACTTTAATGGTAGTTGTGATTTGCCTAAAAATGTCAGGAATTTACACGATTCACCACAAGTATGTGTTTTCTCACCTAGCTTATTTAGTTTTTAGAGTCAGGCGATTCTGAAATATTTAGAATTCCTATGAAGATCTTAACAGCATTGACATCAGACCCAAAAAGGAAACTCCTACAGAATGTAGTAGAGGAAAGCGAGAAGAAAAGACTAAACATAACTTTTAAAGAGACTTAATGTATGGTTTTTAGCAAAAAAAGAAGAGCACAATATGCGAATTACACATGTTGCGTTCTATTTCATCTGTGGATCAATATGCTACTACATAAAACGGTATCAACGAAAAGTGTCATTTATTTTTAGTATTCGTTTTATTAAGAGTACACTCTTGGATTAGGGTAACGTCACAGGAACGCACATGTCGCACGTTAGCTCAGCGTCTCTCCGCCGGCAGTCTTAGCCGGAGGAAAACATAGGTGTGGGTGGTATATCGACGCTACAGAATTCTTGAGACCCTCCATTGAATTCGCGCCGTTTTTGGACTTTTATTCAAAACCCAAACAAAGGTAAGTCATCACTGTCAGAATGTACTGTCCACGAGAAACACCGGCCAATCGCTGGCCGTTCATCGAAGTTACGAAGGGTAGATTTATACTACCCGGCACAGAGATTAAACTCACAACGACCATACAATCAAGTTCACGGATCATCACTTTAATCGTAGCTGGTATTATCCTCCATGTGATTTGCATAAAAATGGCTGGAATTTCCTTCCATCTTCTCTCTTTGTTTCTCTATGTATCTCTGCATCGGTCCCTCTGATCTTGTTCGTTCCATCTCACTAACACACTCTTCCCCCTCTCTCTCTCTCTCTCTCTCTCTCTCTTTCTTTATATCTACTACTCTGACATTCCCGGATATAAGAGAGTTGTCGGGACCGGAGAAGAAGTCTCTTATATCCGGGTCTCAAAGTAGGACTTCCTTAGAGTCTTTCTGTTCGTATCTGTGACTTCTACAAGCGGTTACCTCACACTATTACTCTATCTCCAACTCAATCACAATCTCAATCTCTCTACTCTGACTGACTCTGGGTATTTAATTTGTAGCAGTCCAAGTATACACTGGTCGAGTCCACTTGTATGAAAAAAGAGCTGGACCCCATAATATATACATATATATATATACATACATACATATATATATATATATATATATATATATATATATATAATTATAGGTGTGTGTGTGTGTGTGTGTGTGTGTGTGTGTGTGTGTGTGTGTGTGTGTGTGTGTGTGTGCATATATAATAAGTCGCGCCCCGGTTCACGAATTTAATTCGTTCCTGAAGGCCGTTCGCAACCCGAAATGTTCGTAAACCGAAACTATTTTTCCAGTAGGAATCAAAGAGAAAAGAAAAGTCCCTGTACAATAAAATGGAAAAAGAAAAGCACAGCACAACACACAAATGTATACAACACGGCGATCGACTCAGAAATGATTCCCTTTGGATTATTAACTCGTTTCGGCAATGTTGTTCGAAAACCGAAATTTTGTACGATAAACGGCATTTGTCTTCTCGAATTTTCTGTTCGAAAACCGATTTGTTCGACATATGCAACGTTCAAGAACCGAGGTTGTTCTGTATATATATATATATATATATATATATATATATATATATATATCCCGCG